TTTCCAGGAGAACCAAAATTTCTCCGGAGAAATTTATAGTCTCTTCGTTGTTTGTTATTCATATACCATTAGTTTCATTCATTAATTTATCATGTGGTCATTCATGCAACATGTGGTCACTAGGATATCATGATCATGATATTATCTTTTCATTACTGTTATTGTTAGATCATAACTAAGCAAAGCAATAAGAATGCTATTAATATTCATTGTGAATGAGGATACAAGCATCTGCGATGATCTATAATTAGATATTTCAATTACTGCATTCTAATAATGGTCTAACATATTCCATAAATACATCGATCTCTTCATAAATTTGCTCACTCATTCAGTTCCTTTGGGTGTTGTTAAAATCTACCAGTTTATATGATCGCTCAACAACAGAATCCTATCTCATCATAATCTCGTAACATGAAACATTGCTTTCATTCTCATTTACTTATCTCTTCACGTTCAACAATCATCTTTATTGCCCGTTCAACTTAACTGAATTAAATGAACAATAACAATCACAGTATCAAATATATCCAGTTATATCATCTCGCTCAGATAGATCAAATCATATCTGACTGGATACAATGAGGATGATCTCCGCTGAGCAGTGAATATGATTGAGTAACATGTCATAACGATGGATATTTATCTGTCTATTGAAGTCTATCATTATAATGTCCTAATTTCCTCATATTTAATTCGATATTATTGAGTAACACACGCATAGTTTACGGCATTCATTAGTTGAATAACTATCATTGTTGGCATTATTATCGTCATTGTTGCATACCATTCATTGACGGCATTCTTTTTCATAGTATTGTGCAGTTCACTTCAAATCATGTCGATTTAATAGAACACACAAAAAGATATGAGAACATTGCAATTTACACGTTCCTTTAGTGCTTTCAAATAACTGATAATTTCGTTTGTGGATCATTGGTTTGTTGGGTTTCAGAGATTGATTTTTTTTCAAAAAGAAAGACTATTTTTGATGATTTCCGGCAAGAAGGCACGGTGAACAGAAGAGATTTTAAATTCTAACACTCTGCAAGTGTCAGTTAGGGGATTACAGATACATTTACTTCCAAAATTGAAATCTGCCACGAATTGATCTGAGTTTTGATTCTCATTCATAAAGTCGAAAGTTCACAGTAACACACTGGTAATTCAATGTGATACATTGACCTAGTATCATATGTAGGCACCGTTCGATCTGTCTGAGTCGTTGACGTATTATAAATGAATAGATGTAAGTAAGCTAATCACTAGGTAAACTCAAACCTTCACTAGGTAGGTAAAGTGTTAATTAGATTCATATTTATTCAATTATTTCTCACTATAATCAATGTTCATATCATTCAGGGGTGCATGTATAGAATACAAGTCCATATGGCATTTCACTGCTACGGTCATTAATTTCAATCAGATAGAGCATTATACACATATGATTATGTTGAGTAATATTTAGGTTAATTGTTATATCGTTGTGAATAATAGGTATAATCAAGGGTCGTATGGATTTGCCTTGCTGGATTACAATTATTTGTTCAATTGTTTTAAACTTTATAAGCACTACTAGTAGAGGTTTAGTTCGAAGGGTAGAGGGTGAGAATAGGAGTTGATTGTGTCAACAAGGATTTATATGATTCTGCAAATGAAGTAAATCAATGCAGATATAGATATACCTTCGTATAGAGTTGAAATATAAGGCTATACGAACTTGTCGTTTGCAACTGATGATTTTTTTTTCAAATCAGATCATAATGAGTGATCAATATTAGGAGAGAAAATGACCGTATGTTTGATAAGTTTAAATGTACATAGTCTTGTAAATACCACTTCATTCTGGCATCATTGATGCAGGCGAAAACGGGATTTTGAGGGAATAGGGTCTTGGAACTGCGAACGGTTGTCTTTGATATTTTTACGGCTTTAACAACTATTGAACTGAAGTTTTTCTCTCATTAAGCTACCAATTTATTGAACTTTCCTTGCTTGGTAGGTAGGGGAAAGATTTGCCTGTCAGTTTTCTGCATCCTTTTTCGATTCCTTGTTTAACATTCATGAATTTTAAGAGTATTGATATTTTTACGCACAATCAGCAGCATATTTATGTTCACATGCTGAAAGGCTCAGATATCTACTTCAGTTGGGTTAAAATATTTGATATTGCAAAATGAACGGCTAATACAACGCACAGAAGTTTAATTCTGAAAAATCCAAAAAATTCACTCCCATGTGAATGAATATGTAATCAGTATTTTTTTCAAGATTCTTGGGTTAAATGAGGAATACAATTAGTGAGATTTCAGATTCCGAATCAATCGTCAAACCGACCCGAAACGTCAATTCTCAATTGATCAGTCCGGTTCGTTGCGAGTGGCACAAAGTTTGGATCGAGAGGATATCAGTCGCTACAATCTCATTGTAGAAGCGTTCGATCCTGGTGTGTAGATCAACTGTTTACTGCCTGAAATTTTCGCTAGTCTAGCTATATTAGTGATATTGATTTTTGGGATTTTTTTTTGTTTTTGCACTTAAAGCAATCATCTTTCAGCTTCTGAACTCGTTTCTTATACTATGATTTCCATGCTCACTTCACTAATTGTGTGTTTTAGTCGGTAATGTTGGCTCACAGCGTATCGATATCTATGTGCAAGATGTCAACGACAACGCACCCATTCCGTATACCGTTCCGAATCCATGCGTTTTCATGGAGAACACCGATCCGTCACAACAACCCAAATGCGAAATCTACGCTCACGATCCAGACACAGCGTTCGTTTTCTTGGATTCGCTTTCGAATGATTATTGATATTCTCGTATGATGTGAAAGGAATGAATGCATTCAATAAATTGTATTGAATCCTTCTCTCAGCATTGATATTGTTCACTCAGATTGTCAAAGTGAAAAGTGTATAATTTGTTAGTGTTGTGATATGATCGAGCTTTCGTTTCAGTGAATATGGTCCTCCATTCCAAATGACGCTCGCACAGAATTTCAAGTATGGCAAATACTTGAGTGTTGTCTTTGATCCAAGTGAGTTTTTGCTTTCAGCTCAGGTCTTGCCATCATCATCCATCAGTATCATTTGAGAAGTGAAAAAGTTAATGGTGAAGTTTTCGGTTTTTAAAAATGAACTGATTCGTTCCTTCGAAACGAAGTCATTGTGCGTACATCTACGAGGTTCTAAAAAGATTTTCAAGCGGATGAGCTCAAGGATTGCGGATTTTAGGTGGTGATAACGGTAATGGATCGATGATAGTGACAGCGAAAGAGCGCTTCGATCGCGAGGCCGAAGTACCAGGCAAAAAGCTCGAAATCCCGATCATTCTAACCGATCGTGGTGGTCTGAGTATCCAACGATCCGTGTATGTGATCATCGGAGATCAAGTAAGTGCTACGTTTTGCTTGTCATCAATTTTTTGTTTCGTTTTTGTTGGTTATTACTTATTGCAGTCGATGTGGTCTTACGTTTTAGCAGAGTTCATTTAACTTTTAATATATCCCTTTTCATTTCATTGTTCGCATGTTCATGTTGTTCTTAAGCTATCAGAATTTGATCACACGTTCCGAATCGAATCTGATCTTCTATGAGTTAAATCTTTGATTCAGTTGCAACTGAATGCATAGATAATATCGTTTGGCTGCGTCTAACATCTAAAAAGCTCCTAACTGAATATTGGATGTATTATTCGATATTCAAACGCAGATGTATTATCCTATGAGCATAATTTTCTACATAAGTTAGCATTATAATGCAATTAATACATTATGTGATAATAGCAAACAATACAGTAACACAATAGAATGAATACATTTTGACATTAGAGTCGCCACAAATAAAAAAGGATTAAAGACGGCCAACATCAAAAAATGGCACAATATTTGTTGCATTGTTTTAATCTGTCGAGTGCTTTTTGCATCGCTACTCAACAATGCCTATTTATTTGTTCTCGGCTCTGTTCTCCGTTAAAGGATTAAGGATTAACGCACTGAAGTGGTAGAATGCCCATCGTTTCTGTTAGGTACAAGAAGTGCTATTCTTTTTTACGTTCCGTTTTGAAGCAGTGCAAGGATGCGTAAGGTAAAGATGAAAACGCGGTGCAGGCAAACCACTAGTCGCTCCAATGAAGCTAGTAACAGTAGCGCCGTGTTCATACTTGTATTATCCTCCCTGAAATCCTCCTGCGCTTTCGTTGGTCTATCGGCTTTTTTGTCCATCTATCAATTATGCATAGACCGGTGAGTAATTATTGAGGATAATATCATCTTACTGATGACATAGCTATCTATTGTATGTACTATAATAGGGGACGGGGAGCAATAGATTAGGGATGGCCAATGGTAGAAGGGTCATACCGACGGATCAACTGGATGAATAGATGGAACGTTGTTGGGATAGCGGTCGCTGTATAAGAAGCCAAAGCCGAAAGGTTTGGTTGAGGAATGGGGAGGGGGGTTTGAAGAGAGCACTCAAATAATGGTGACAGATTAATTGGTCAGGGATATGGGTAGATGCCATATCCGGTCTATTCATCATGTCCGTCTCTTAGTCATTATTGTTGACATGACATCCTAATATAATAAAATATAATGTGTACTCACATCGAGGTAATGACGGTGGCCTCAGTTCTCGGATTGCTTCCTCGAAAAAAAAATTGCTCGTGAGAGAGAAAGGAGATGGCAATGGGATGATGAATACACAAATGAAGCGCAAACAGAGAAATGACCTTTGATGGACTTTTTTGTCTGTACGAGGGAATAGAATTGAGTGAGAAGCGGGAATTAGGATGGTTAAATGACAAGTCGAAGTCGAAACGATTGATGATATGTGGGATGCGGAGGTATCAGAAGAAGAGTTGATGTTTCGGAATGATCTGTAATTTAGTGGTTGAAACTTTAGAAAATATTTTAGAGTTGAATGTGTTCTGAATCATTTCATAAGTAGTTAAAACATAAGATTCTGATTTCAGAGAGTGTATAGTTTCGATTGATATTTTGGTGCGAAGTTGGGAGTTTTTCACTGAATAAAGTAGATTTGGATCAGGTCGATCATGAATCTAGGAGATCGAAAACTGTCTAATGAGTAAACAAAATGAGTAGATGGTTCTCGTGAGTGTGTCTCGGTATAATGAAATTAATGAATACAATTGATGTTTCTAATATCTGCTGAAATCATGAAAGGAATCCACAAATAATGCACATATGTGCCAATGTAATCAATTAATTATCTTAAAGTTACGATTGTTTCATCTTGAGAAAGATCTGCACACATCTATATAAATGTAGTCTTCATGAGTCTCGCTTCAAATCGCATTTCTCGGTTTTTTGTCCCATCGAATTCTTCCCTCACATATTGCGTTAGCATCAATTTTTTGCCTAGATGACCTCTGTGACCTTCGTAATTATTCTATTCCCAGGCGCTTTTCCCATACACCGCAATATTACGGCATGTCTTGTCAACACCATTTTTTCCCAGAATGCATTATTCTTTTAAGTGATAGGTGTAGAATTCATATAAGATGGAAAAAATTGAATGTAGCTTATCTGAGAGAAGCGTAGGTCTCATTTCGCGCCCCATCCCCTTGGAAGAAATCTTGGCGACGGAAAATATCTTGCCTAAGCATCACTTTTTGCTATGATGGAGATATATGGAGAAGGTCAAATATCAGAATTTTTTGTAGTAAATCATCTTATCTTGAGCTGTTGAGATCCTTTTTTATTCCATCATCATATTTTGACTGTCCACTCTGCTTGTACTTATCCCCAGCGCATCCCCTCTCGTCCAGGCCCACTTAACCCCCCTTAATTACCGTTCCATTTCCACGCACTCTCCGCCATTGTTCTGTGCCGATCTTAAGAGTGATTCATCTCATTCTTTGTTTCATTCATTGTTAGTTATCAGTAATGTCCTTAAAATAGCACCATTGAAGGGGATTATAAATGGACGAAACACTTGATGATAACGCTTTTCTTGTTCATGTCGAACTCTCAGTATATGCCTAAGCAAGCCGTATTATCGCATAATAATTTGGTGATGCTGGTGATGATGACCCTTTATGATGTAGAAGATGGACAATGGGTACTTGAATACGGGGTTATTCATTCATAAGGTGCAAATCTGAAGTGAACAAGGAGAATACTTTTGTGAAATTGTTTATGAAAAGGGTCAAGATTTGAGGAGTGTTGTCCATTGAGTTCACATTAGAGTCTGTGTGCACTGTCATCGGAAATTATTGAATAGCGCATTGAATTAGAATCATTAAGATGTTGGGTTGGTCACTTAAAAGGATTTTGTATGAGGACAACAATCAGATTTCGTCATGAAATTTTTAATTGCACTAGACGATTTCTTACGGGGTAGTAGTATTTATGCTCACTGGTTAGTACAGTATTTGCAGATGCTCTGGCATTAGTATGATCTAAAACTGTATCTTAGTACTATATTGAAATTGAAGAGAAATTTCATAATAGACATATTTCCGTTGTGAATGAATAATCTTGAAAATACACACTACTAATTTTATTGCTATAGTATTAAGATTGCCCATAGATTATGCGTAAAGATATATCACTGGTTGTATCGTCATAGTTATTACTAGCATTATTATTACTATAATATTGCTCATGGATCTGTAGGCATACTAGCCGATTGATGTAATAATTCGAGCGAATGCTTATAGATGACATGCTGAGAGCAATTCCCATGAGATCGTTTCGGTTTGAACACATATACTATGTAATGAATTGTTATGATCAAATTAGAGTATGCGTATTAGAGGGAATAGTATTGAAGAAGAAATAAATTTGAATTGGAAACATCGCTAAAGTAAATGTTGTTTATGATATAAGAAAGGAGAAACTATATGAAGTTTTTATGTAATATCTCTTGGAACTAGAAATTCGTCGAGACTGCTGCGCTTGAAATATTCATCAAGGATTTGCACAGTGTAACACAAAACATGGGCTTAATAGAAGTAATTGTAATGACAGGGTCAGTAATATGAATATAAGTGGTTATAATAGTAAAAATAACAATGTTATTGATGATAAATCGCAGTGTTAAGTGCGATAACACGAGTGAAATTAAAATAAAAGAATAGCAGTGTACGTATTTGTATTGTAACAAACACAAGCTCTTAAAGAGTCTCAAATTGTGAAGATTGAAGATATTATCGTAAGTATCAATTTGCTTTGATGAAGTTATGCCACAATCTTATGTTTCGAAATATTTCTGATGAGTTCTTCCAGGCTGGAAGTGAGGTTGAATTCGTTGATGCTGCTGATTGTTCGTGCCGAATTGATTGGATGAAATTTTAAACTTTTCTTTTGCAGAACGACAGCCCAATGACTGACGGCACGATGACAATATTCGTGAACAGTTATCGTGGTAAGCTGGGTAAGACAATGATCGGTCGTGTCTATGTGGAGGATAAGGATGACTGGGATTTGCCCGATAAAACGTTCACGTGGGCACCCGGCAAATCGTTACCAGGATTTGAACTTGCATCCAACGGAGAGGTACGCATAGACGATTATAATTCAGTAGCTTGAATACAAAGCGATTCTAGAATTGATGAATGCAAAGCGATTTTGCTAGGATGCATCTATCTGACTCTGTTTGCTCTGCATTTGAACTGGAAGAAATCTTTCGAATATCGCTCTTTGCTTATGGGCAGTGAATTTGATTTTTCGGTTTGTATAAATAAATGGAAGCTGAACAGAGAGCACATATAAGTTCATCAAACATTTTTAGACTGAAAATGTTGAGGATTCACCTCAGATAGAATTCAGGTGAATCCGTTGCTGATTTACAGTTATTTTGCTTGTCTCTGATTCGGTTTAGTGATTGATTTCGCTCTGCTTTTTCAGATCACAATGGACGCCGATATGCCACCACGCACATATCAGATGGTCGCGAATGTAGTCGATAAGCGCCGTAATGAGCACGCACAGGGCACAGTGAATGTGGTTGTGAAACTCGTACCTGAAGCCGCGTTCATGAATCAAGTGAGTGAGGACATGCAATTGGCGTGTTATCTTTTGGAGTGAATGCTGTTACCTTGAACGCGACTTGTTCCAGAGGAATTTTTTTAAAGATCTCATAGACCGATAGCGATCGCTACCAGTTTTTTGTTTCCCTGCTTCAAGGTCATCTTAATGTCAGCGAAGAATTCACTCAGATCATCACTTTAAGCGAGCAATTTGGCGAGGGATTTCGTCAACAAACTGTGGAACCATAGTGTTTTGATTTGATTTCAAAGTAAACGACTTACTTTAGTATGATAATTTCTTGTGTATTCAGGGTGGACTCCGTATTCTGATGGGTTCGAACGGCTTCGAGTCTACCGATGAATTTATTCGTGTAGATTCGTCTGGATCAAGTCCGATGAGTCGTTTTGTCCAGAAAATGCACGACTACCTAGGTGGATCGGCCGAGATCGACGTCTTTTCGATCAAGGTTTGTTGTTGATTTCTGTCATCTATCAATGTTCAGAATGAATCTTCTGTTGAAACGTTCACACGTAATTCATTACATGCGTCGTATTCACTGTCGTATTCGATCAAAACAAATCGAATTTCAGAAAGATGTGGCCATTCTACAAACCATCGTTGAGGAAGTCATTGATGTACGTTTCTCGGCACACGGTAGTCCATATCGTAGTCCAGTGCTGTTGAACGGTCTTATCGCACAATATCGTGACGAACTGCAAAAGGCGATCGGTGCCACGATCGTATCGGCCGGTATCGATATGTGCAAATTTACGGTTTGTGATATGGGATGTGAGACGAAGAATTACGCCGATGAGGTTTGCCATTGTATTATTCGTAAATTTTTCCTCTCATCTCTTTACTTTACATTATTCGTAAACTTTAATATCGCTTTCTCGAAAAATTCATCACTTATCCTGAACAGATAACTTTTACTGATAGATGAATAAGTAAAAGTTTACACAAGTTTTTGCCACGTGAAGTCTTTCGTTTGTATTTTCTCGATTAAATCAGTGCACAAGTCTGCAGCTAATCTAGAGATCTACTGAAGTTTTGATCTGTTTTATGCGGCACCTAGTCAACATCGGCCATTTCAGACGGGTGTTGTGGTATCGGCGAATCAAACCGTTATCGTTGGAGTGAACGCGTGGTCGAACGACACGTGTACTTGTCCAGTTTTCACGCCTCCGCCGTCGTGCCAAGCTGATTTGTGTATGAATGGTGGTGTGTGCCATAATACGTATCCGAGAGGTTTCTTCTGTGAGTGCCGTAACAATGCGCTGAAAGGATTCCGATGTCAGGGTACAACTCGATCTTTCGATGGTCAAGGCTACGCTTGGTTCAAGCCAATGCCTGCATGCACTTCGTTGAACATGTCATTGCAATTCATGACCAGGTGATCACAACTTATTTGTTTGTTCAATAGTATCTCTTACTTGTCATGAGTGAATCGGAAATGCAAAATTGTTCTTGTTCACTGATGAATTTTTCCAAACTGTGATGTTGATACATCGATGTCTCTGGCTTGGAAAATATATTTTTAATGCATACAGAAATGTCAGAAGTTTTGCGAACGAGTCGCAGTCTTGAATCGATTTCTATTGCGAGTGTGTTGTAGGCAAGCTGATGGTCTGCTCTTGTATAACGGTCCGATGGGTGCCAATACAACATTAGGTCAAATCGACTATCAAGACTATGTGATAGTTCGTTTGGTGTCGGGACGTGTTGAGGCCGAGTTGATGTTCAACGGAGTTGCAGCGAATCCGATACAAGTGGCTGGATCGGACATGTTGAACGATGGAAAATGGCATACCATTTCACTTACACAATCTGGAAAGGTAACGGCGAATCAATATTAAGAAATGGTTCTTTCCGAGTTAATAATGCAAATGATCTGTTCAGTTACATGACATTCGATGGAATATTCTCAGTATCGGTCGTCAAATTTAGAAGACTGCATTCGGATTCTCTTTCCTTTCTGTAATCGTTTCAATGATTGTAATTGTGACAGTAACAATTTTCAGACGATTGAGTTAGTGGTTGATAATTGTTATACGATTGGTGCGTTGAGTGTGATGCAAGACGGAAGTGGCTTCTTGGATGATTCTTCGTGTCGACGAGTGGTGACTTCTATCGATGACGACGAACGATTGAATATCAACACACCACTTCAGGTGCGTTATCGAATCATTATGGTCATCGCATTACTTTTGGAATTATTATTATCTTCGTATAGTTATCACGTAATAACGATGAAAGTATAGAGTCTGAAAACTTCTCAGAGGAACTATTCACGATGTTTTTTAATGATCACAGTCATCAACTTGTCATCCGTTATGCATTCTTACAAAAAACCATTGGTGAATCGATCGGATTCCATTCTCACGAGGTAGTAGTAAATGCGAGTCACCACGAATAGAGCTGACCAGTGAATTTCAGGTGGGTGGCTTAGCACCGTTATCTGGAAACGAACGGTACCCAGCGGCAGCGACGTCTCGTGTACAAAGTTTCAAGGGTTGTATGCGTAATTTGTTCATAAACGGTGAGCAGTACGATTTGGGAGTGCCGGATTATGTGAATAGTCAACACTCACAAATGGGTTGTGACTTGAATGAGGCCGTATGCGATGTGAACAGCATACAAGGTGGTTATTGTGAGCATGGCGAGTGTATCGCTGATGCTGTGGTAAGCAAATGATCGAATTTTGTTCAGTTTCTGGGAGATTTTCGTGGAATTTTTTTTTGAAAACTTATGTATAATCGAAAATTTTGATCAGTTCGAATCGTCTGTGAGTTTTTTCGCGTTTTGGAATATTCCGATTTCATTACCAGTCTCGGTCCTCATCAAAAAATAGCAGACAAGAAGGCGAAATGCTCATCTTTTGCGTTATTCGTTTCAGTGGAATGTACAGCTATCAATGAAGATTTATTCATTTCGAGAGAAATATCGCAAAAAATGATTTGTGAAAAGTTGATTTTGTCTCAATTTCAGTCACCCGTGCCGAAATGTGCGTGTGATCCGGGTTGGGGTGGTGATCGATGTGATACGGAAATACCGTGGGTTGAGTTCGGTCCGGGTGCGTTTATTGAATACGACGTCAAGGTGGGACTAGAGGATAAAACAACCGATGTGGACGTGCTCTTCCTACCGGGTAAAGCAAATGGAGGTACCGGAGAACTGGGCTTCGGAAGCGATGGCGACAAGGTGATTAAGAATGCATTTTATGTTTAGATTTTGTTGTCAAATGTCAATTTCTAATGAATTCAGCCATTCTGAATGTATTTCCGAGAAATCAATTTTGTCAAGTTGCATTTGAAAGTTCGAAAGTTTCATTTACGATTATTATTGAGAAATCGCACCAATATCCTCTCATTACACAAATGAATATCACAATCCACATTTCNAATGTTCAGAATACTGATTATTAGAGACTGACTTGTGTAGTTAGCATTCCATCTATTACTAGTTCAGTTTGATTGACTCACTCATTCGTGGAAATTCAGAGATTGGAAGTATTCCATTGAAAAGCATTTGAGCTTTTCAAAAAACAACAAATTTCTTTTAATGTGCGAGAAAATATATTTTTTCTTAAATTTAAGTATGTGAGCACATCGATTGAAACGTACAATCCGGCTGCCAAATTTGACCTGAGTCAAACGGGTGCCACTTCAAGCGCATCGCTGATACAAATGCAAATGAAGAATCTCACTCTGGCCGCGAATACTTCCTACTGGATGCAGTTCTCGAGAAGTCCTGTCAGGTTCGTTCCGTTCTCCTTTCATGCCTATTCCAATCGCCACTCTTTTTTTAAACGAATCACTTTAAGAATTTCACGTTTTCTTGATTTTTCAGCAACAATCTTCTCCAAATATGGCTTGTCCTGGTTGAACTGGACTGATTTTCAGGTCATCATTGTCTGTTGATGGTGTCTATCATGAAGCTGTCCCACTCGACCCAGTCAAGACTCCGTATGAAATCAGTATCTCACAGCTGTTACTTGGAGCCGAAAGTGTCGGTGGCGCCAGAGGATTTCAGGTTGGTACTTGTGTTGTTGTGCTTGCTAAACATAGCAAGCGACTCACTCCATCAGTAGCATGGCCAAAGATATATTCCATAGTTACATTTCGTTATATTGCGCCTTTCAAATCGTATTATTATCGTCACAAGTTTGAACTATATCGAACGGTTATACTGACTCAAAATCTACTGCGTCAGCGAACGTCTTTATATCTTGCTGCAGAGATGTCGTGAATTGTAGCTTTTTACATCGAACTGGTTCATTGTAATAGTGCGGAAAATCAAAGTAGCGGGCAGGTGTTTCTGTGATAATGCAAAATGTCGTATTATCCATTGTTGTGCTGATCAACTGAGAAATTTTAAGTGAGTGTAATGGTGAAACGCATCATTTCAGGGATGTGTGGGTACGTTCCGTTGGCAACACATTAATTTGCCTCTGTCGAACGGTGGCAGCTCATCGGGCAAGGGTGCAAGTGGTCGAAACGCGGCAGCCAAGTCGAGTGAGTCGATCATCAGGGTGAAACAAGCACGAGGCGTGCAAACGGGCTGTTCACAACGCAAAACGTGCGCTACAGTCGGTTTTGCGTACTGTAGTGGATCGTACGTTTGCATGGATTTCTGGAAGGGACCGTTCTGCACATGTCCTCAAGGTGCCCAGGCGCTACTGGGACCGGATGGTCAGCTGGCCGGATGTGGTGCCACATTGGCGGTCAGCAGTTTGGGCATCTCAAGTCCAGCTGTCATCCTCATACTCGTTTGCCTTATTCTATTGATATGTGAGTTGTTGTGGTTGTTTTTTAAGGTTTCTTCTATTGAGTCAGAAAATTCTCTGGAATGGAATGAATTCCACGAAAATTTCGTTTCCGGATTTGGATTTAGCTCTATATATTAGTGCCGAAACGATCTGATATCAATAGAGTTTTAGAGAGCATTTCATTGAGTATTTGAGAGTTGAAGAGAATTTCTCAAGAGGGAACCTCCAACCGAATGCACCGAATAGGAATAACATATCAATTTCTGAAGGTACTGACTTGTTGATGTTGCTCATTTACAGTATTGGTGATGCTAATGGTCGTGTACACTCGTCGACAAACGCCACCGTTCGAACCGGTCAGACCCGAGGATCTGAATCGAGATAATTTGCGACCGTACGATGTGGAAGGAGGCGGTGAGGCAGATAATGACCAATACAATATCAACAATCTGCGCAAACCGGTCATGCCTATCGAAGGCAACGGTATCACTGATTACCCGCCGTATCCAGCACACCACCAGAAAACCACACCACCTGTTGGTGAGTAGTAGTCATTTTTCTGAACAAATTTTTCGGTTTCTTTCATTTTCGTCGCTTCATCCAAATTCACAATCTGGACAGATTTCTGTGATAGTTGTATTGTTGAAAGCATTTAGTTGGTATACAGTAACAACGGCAGCTACTACCAAAAGCATATTTACATTAAATAGTTTGTTGATGTTGAACCAACGGAACGAACGTTCCGAGCCAAAGATTTTTTGATGTCCATTAGATTTTCGATACCGATGAGAATTTTAGAGTAAGCAATCGTAAATGTGGTAGGAACTCAGTTCCTCATTGCAGTTTTTTGTTGATCAAATTGAAATGAGAAGTGTGAAAATTTCAATCGTTTCATTGGAAAACTTCATCGGATTGTTAACTTCAGTTGAATCTTTTCAGATGACAAACTGAAAAACCGAATAAATTCATTAGAAGCAGACCCAGACGCTACGGCTCCATACGATGAGCTGCGAATATATGACGACGAAGGCGATAATGTATCTCGGTATGTTTCACTGATTGTTTCGAATCATAGTCAAGTCTGTTTTGATTAAGAAAGGATTTTTCATGCGGAAAGAAGTAAACGTTGGGATGACTTAGCCATCATTTTGGTCATCTCAGTTGGAATTGTAAATTGAATGGTGTTGACAATAATTATAGCAGGCAGTCATTACTATTATCATTTATTATCATCGAAATCTAAATCGCATTTTCAGAGTAACATTAGAATCGCTGGAATCAGCTGATGACAATGGAACTGCGGGTAATCTCAATGAAGAGGTGAGTGAATGAATAGTAGTAAATCTGATGTAATTGTGGAATTTTATAGAAGACTGAGTGAAGTCATATTTAATTTATAGATTTATAAAAGACTAACATTGACTGAAATCATATTGCTTGTGTGGAATTTATAGAAGAATATTTTATTGAAAGAGAATAAATATTTATTGAAAGAATGTTTATTGAAGAATAGAAGAATATTTATGGAAGTCGAAAGTCGAAAAAGAATATTTATTGAAAGAATGAAAGAGAATTTTGTGTTTTCGGGTGTTGTTTTCCGTATCTACAAAATTTATCGTGTATTTATTCGACTTTTGTTGCAATTGGAAAACTGACTTCTTGCGATTCTTAAAACGTTTTCTAAATTTTAAAATTTCATTCATCGATGAATTTTCTTGATTTCAGATTGGAAAATGGGGACCACGTTTCAACAACTTGGCTGATATTTATGGCCAACGAGAGCAGTGATCGCAGAGAAAGAGGCGAAACAAAGCATTTAACTCATCATTTCATATTGACGCATTTGATATGATTGATAACTAACGATAGTGATAATAAATATTAATTACTAACTATTGATACTCAAATCATTTTATAATTGTGTGACGAGAAGAATTTATTTCCAACAAACATTTATATTTATTTGTGTCGGATTTCTTTTGTACATATAATTGTTTTCATTGTTCATACGAATTCAGCAAAGCATTTCTCGGTTTGAAATTCATCANTAAAGGGGGGATATATTCCGAGTCGGATCTCAGCGACTGAATTTATGGTATTCTTAATATAAGAATGTGAGATCGGTGTTAAGAAGTTGACTGTTTTTCAATTGTTGTGGGCTTGAAACTGTCGAAATTTCCGGGGGAAAAAAACTTCGTGAGAACTTTTGAAGGTTTTCAGACATTTTTTTTGCTGAATTGCGTACAGAATTGGTAATTTGGATTTTGGTAACAGTTAATGCCATTGCTGTTATTATCGTTGTTATCATTGCCATTCTAATGGTATTATTAATGTTTCTTTGTTATTATTGTACAGATTTTTGTGTGATTTTCATCGTTGGTTTCGCAGTGCAGTGCTCTTACATTGTAACCACATTGTAACCATCTGCAATTAATTGTTAATGCTGCTTCGAGTCTGTGCTCACTTCTGAGTGAATATCAGTCGAAATGCTTTCGCGTTGATCGATCGTTTCTCCCAATCCAAGAGCATTGCGCCAAGATCCGATCAGCTCTCAGATCGGCCGGCACTTTAGTATTGCCGAGTTTTGTGCTAATGGGAATTCTCAACTAACTCCGGTTTTCATTCATTCACACAGCAGATGACGCATATAACCGGAATAGTCATACCTCTGTGCAAGATTATGTTGTCTTAACGTTTTGAAGGATTTGTAATATGTCCACATTTTTCAGTATGCTGTTGTTACACGTCATTATTAAAATTGTTATTTTTATTGTTGTCATCAGTGCTGTCATTTTTACTGTCACTAGTATTATTACTCTTGTTGAAAGTATCATTCTCCTTGTTATTGATATTAATGTTATATCATATGAATTGCCCATATTCCACCACTGTCTGTCATTTTTGTGACTTTATAGGCATTGAAACGTTTTTTTGTTTTGTTGTCGTTTCACTTTCATTTCTGCTGAGTGTTATTGTTTTGTTGATCATTTTACAATGATGCCACTGCTCTTATTGCGTTCAGTTCATTGCCGCGTTTCGTTGCAGAATAACTTTATTGATATGAGTTTTGAGAATTGTTGTTAATGGTGACTTCACAGTATTTGGTTGATCCGTGTGACGAGCGCTGTCTGTCTCGTTTCAGTGTGTTTATCCATATTCACTTAAAATTCAATTTCCTCATCATCACTCTCCTACATCTGCATATTTTTGTTTGTTTATTTGTATCACTCCTCTGCAATCGAACACAACAAGCATTATTTCAATCGCGAACGTTTTTCATTGATTATTTTGAGTGAATTTTATTCTTTGCCGAAATAAAGTTTTATCTAAAGCCGTTAACATTTACGTTGTATTGTTGTTTACAAAAAAAATGTTTTTGTTAGGATGACCATAGTAGCACAGTTATCAGCGGTTGGTAGTAGCGTGCTATGAAAGTGCTAGTGAAATTGCGGTATTGCCCATCTTTGACAGTGGGTATTTTGAGGTTTTCGTGGCTGATTTCATGATTGAACGGATTCTATCCAGAGAACTTGAGCAATTTTAGTCTGATATTCCAGTGGTAGAAATATTTTTAGATTTTGAAATTTCTGTATGAGAAGATGGATGCTGGATGTTTCATGCGATTTGAGTGAGCTCGGTTAGCAGGAGGGGTTGTTATGGAATAGAGTTCAACTGAAAACACGGTTCGGCTAACTGTTTGCAAAGGCACTGATTTCTTGTATTGAGAAAATTTGATTCTTACTA